GCGGTCCTGTCACGCTGTTCGGACCTTGGATGTGAACTGCCGACGGCGGCTGAACTCAACGCATCCTCGTGAAATCAAGGGCAGCAACAAAGTGTTGTTAAAAATCAACAGCAGCATCACGAAGGAGCATGACTGAGCAAAACGGCTGCCAGAGAAGCTTCACGGACTTCCTCTTCATCACACACAAACTGAAAAGCATCACGGCACCGTCAACGTCTTTTTCCCTTTTTGGATTTTTATTATGGCGTGAAGTGGATGATGTAATTGACTCTTTAAAGAAAAACGATATTCACAAAAAGGAAGAGGCGAGGGGGCGGTGTGTGGGGTGTGCCTGATTTTCTCCCGCACTGATCCAGGGTTGACGTTTCCATTTAATGCTAACAACCTTCATCAATAATGCTGAAGTTGTATCTCTCCCAACACACTCGCTCATTCTTTCTGCTTCTGCAGCCTGCCTGGGTTAAAAATAGCTCTTCCCTCTCTTTTTCTCTGCTTCTCCGTTTACATAAGCGCACGAAGGGGGGAGGGGAGCACTTCCGGTCTGGCCACCCAGCCCAGCATCTGATCCATAACACTGGAGCTGCTGGGAGAGGAGGAGGAGGAGAGGAGAGATGTAAGAAAGGAAAGTAGGAAATGAGAGCTCCTTCAAAGCGGAGGAAGCCTCTGTCTTCATTTTAGTCCTTCAGGTTTTATTTATTTTTTGTCTCAGTTTATTGTTCATTCTGATGGCCATAAATTAGTCAGCACACACATTTTGTCAAGAAAGGTTTTCCCGAGCTACAAAATTCAGCTATTACAACAACAACAACAAAAAAACTTACCATGAAGTTGTATATTAATACTAAACCAAAGCACTTTGTTAAAAGTTCACTATCCTTGACTTGCTTTATTAATTATCATTATTCTTTTACTAAATCATTTTAAATTTTGCAGCTGAACAGGCCAAATGACAATCAGGAAGCATAAAAACTATGTGAACAACGGAACACAAAACTTGTGTGTGTGTTGAAGAGTACACACTGAACTGTAGAGCCACGTAAACAGATCCATGGGTCTGCTTAGACAACTTTACGACTGGCATTTTCAGAACTTTGTGCTACAAAACCCATTTAGATCAGCTGAGAGAAAACTCATGAGCAAATCTATACTCGGGTCTTAAATACTGCGATCTGATTTGTTGTGTGTGAACCGTCAACTGGCTTGTAAAATATTGGTAAGGATGTGGGAATAAGTTCTTCAGAGAAGAAGGAAATATATTCGTGCGACCAATTTAGCTCACCTCAGTTACGGAGAAACCCAACAATTATTTTAAAGTAAATACAAATAATAATAATAATAATAATAATAATAATAATAATAATAATAATAATAATAATAATAATAATAATAATGTCTTGCTGTAAAAAAACAAACAAAAAACACTTCAGCAGAAGCATGTCAGGTACCATAAAAAATAATTATGATTAAAAGCTAGATAATCCATTATAAGGAATGAAAGAAACTAAACAATTAAAAGGTGAGTGGTATCAGCTGAAAGACAACCATCGATGTTTAGGTTAATATTTTAGCTAATTTAAATAAAGAACTTTTAAATGTTTGGCAATGTATAGACACGTTGCAAAAAACACATGAGAAAAGTGCATGCCACTATTTTACATACCAGCACACTATGAGAAAGCGTCAGCAAGCCTTTAACTCCCGAGTCTACACACTGTGCCACATAAACAAAAGTGAGGCAAAGTGATGCACTTGGACCAGAGACTCAGACAATTACGTTGAAACTGAATTTACAATGTATTGCTTGCCTTGGATGTGCAACATATTCGAAAGGAATCTGTGCCAGTCATAGTTGCAGTCAGTGACCACAAACACACCATGCAGGAAATGTTATTTTTTAACTAACACAGAACTACAACTTTAAAATATCTCACAACACATAAGGATAATCTGCAAATAGGCAGCACAGAATGTTAAGCGTCAGCTAATATTATATTACCAGCAAACTATCATGTCCAAAGACATGACAAACACTGTCAACAATGACCAAAAACAATAAATAGCCAAGTACATGTAAACCTGAAATATACATACCCAAACAATTAGAATTACATACTGCTGAAGCAGGAATTGGTCTAACGAACAAAGCATGTTATATTGTTGCAGTAGATATTTTTCGCTGTTGTTCATTTATTATTAAAAGCTGTTTATATATTTGTTTTAATATTTGACGTTATTTTATGTTCATCTTAAATTGTTCAATAACTGCTACTGCATTTTTTAGATGGCATTATGGTTCAAATTAGTGTGAATTGGCCATCTTCATTATGTTGTTGGTTATCCCATCATAAACAGAAGGGTTCTGAATATATTTATTATTAACATTAAATGAAAAGCTTTATAACTGTAAGTTAGTAGACAATAAGCCTTATGTGTGCTCTTTATGGGATAGGTGTGCACATCTTAGCTCAACTCGAGCCACGCTGTCGGGTCATTTAGCCATGTAACCGTTGGGATTTTATACGGGCATTCATATCCTTAAAACATTCTTGCATATATCTGAATGAATATGTGAGATAAAAACTAAATATTCTACACCACAACGCATTTGAAAATGGCATTTAATGGATGAGGTCACACCAACTTTGAAATTTTTGACGAGCCAGGGTCTATGGTCTCTCCAGCGCCAATAATATCGTCAGAGCTCATGTCATGTGAAAGGACATGAACTCTTTTGCATACAAATCAGACCTATCAGCTTTGACTCTTGAGTCTTATGACACAGACGTATAGCCAACCAAAGTCCCATCACAGAGATCTGCTGCATGAGCAGGTGGGCTCTAAATAGGCTTCAGGACTAGTGTGTTTATGTGTAAAAGCGCAAGAAACTATGTTGAGGGTTTTTCACCCCAACTAAAATATGGCAAAACAAGCAGAAATAATTTTATAAGTATAGGTGTGATGATATACTGGAGTTGGCCAAGAAAAGACAGTGAATTTTCCAATGAGGAAAAGTCTGATAAAAGCCAGTGATGGAGCTTCTGTGAGCTCAGTGGAATAAGGGTGCATTCAAACCAGTCCTGTTTAGTCCGCTTTAATTGAACTCTAGCTCGTTTTCCTAGAAAGTCCGGTTCGTTTAGGGAGGTGTGAACGCACCATCGAACTCTGTCACGGAACAAAAAGGCGAACTCTGGCCCGGGCTAAAACCTAGGTCTCGGTCTGGTAGAAGAGAACTCCAGCGCAGTTCGAGTACAGTGTGAATGTAAACAGACCGGGCCCTGCTCCGCAGGAAAAACAAAAACACATTGCTCTGACCTTATATGGAGCCGTCAGCTGCCTTGTGTGGAAAAACAATATTCTCCATGGTCTTCTGTCTCATCTTCTGCTCATGCTAAGTCCATTTTTGAAAAATGACAAAATATAACTCCTAAAACTGCTAAAACTTGATGCCACTTCGTTTTTATTTTTATTTCTAGAAGTAGAAGAAGACGTGTCTTCAGAGGTTTTTGTGTTGTTTCTTTCAGTAGTTCTTGGTGCAGCGCCCCCACAGGCCAGTGGGGGAATAGGTTGGTTCAACAGGTTGACTCGACTGCACATTGCAGTGTGAATGCAAACGCACCAGCTCAAATGTAAACAAAAGGTCATGAATATTGGTCCCGAACCGAGTCTACCGGACTATCTGGTGTGAAAACGACCTACGATTTGTTTGTTGAAGGAATAGATGTGTCTTTGAAAATTAGGTAAAACTTTAAATCTGGCTTCTGTTTCTTTATAGTTTGCTTAGATGTAAATACTTCTGAAAAGGTAAGGAAACAAGTTGCTGTCTTTCAGTTGTGTGTGGGATGCATTGTTGTGCATTTGCTGACTTTGACACAGTTGTTCAATGTATAAAAAACTAGTTTTTATTGTGGGGGGTTTACACATTCAGCAGATTGTGTGTTTATACATAATTTAGATATATATAATAAAGTGTCAAAAGTAAAGAATAAAGTTGTCATTGTAGTCAATCATGCTGACAGTGACTGTGGATAAAAAAAAAAACATGATTCCTCCAGGTGTCACCTTTCATTAGAGCCCTTACTGATGACTGGATGTTAAAGAATTCAGGAGTCACAGCCTTTCGATGTTGGTATCCATTTGGAGACTCCAAATTATACTACTTTAGGTAATGCCTAAACATACATAAGGAAACCTGGTGGTGGAATAGTGAAGTGCAGGAAGCTATTCAAAGAAAGAGGTTAGCCAAGAAGAAAGATGACAGTGAGAGGACTGAATAGAGGAGACAAGAATAAAAGGCGATGCGACGTAGAACAAAGAGGGAAGTAGCAAAGGCAAAACAGAAGGCGTATGATGAGTTGTATGGGAGGCTGGGCACTAAAGAAGATGAGAAGGATTTAAACCGATTGGCCAGACTGAGGGATCAGGCTGGAAAGGATGTGCAGCAGGTTAGGCTTGTTAAAGATAGGAATGGTAATGTCCAAACAAGTGAGGAGAGTGTGACAAGAAGATGGAAGGAGTATTTTGAGAAGCTAACAAATTAAGAAAATGAAAGAGAAAGAAGAGGACTATTAACGACTATTAACCAGTTTAAAACTAGCCAAACTTCTAACTGAAGAAGTCTTGAGCCAAATTTAACAAAAGAACAGCTAAAAATTTTGTTATTTTACTCAGATCAATAAATGCAAACCTTACAGTCATGGAGACTCATCTGCTTGTGATTATGAACATCTGCAAAGTTTTATTTCCATGCAATGGATAGAGATATACAGTACATAGTTCAGTGACAAACAACTTTGCATTTATGAACAACACATATATTCAACATCATTGAGACTTAATTATTGACATCACACACTAACACCCCACAGAATCCAAACTAAATAGTCAAGACAAACTTTGCCTAACACCAGGGTGTTTCACACCAGTGAGTCCTTAAACAAATGCATGAATTGTACCAAAGGTTTGGATCCCAGTAAAATAAAGTAACCAAAACAAAGACTTACTACTGTGCGCAGTCGATGAGTTGATATTCATTGGACCGTTCCCAGCAAGCTCTCACACCTTCGTCCTGCCAGAGGAGCTTTGTATGGTCATAAAACACCTGAAAAGTCAAAGTTGCAGATAGATTAACAACATACCACACCAGGAAATGTCCAAAAACTGTACAATATGTAAGAAAATTGAAGATCTTGATGACAGCTTTGACTGGAAACATGGCATCTAAAGTGTCTGAATTTGAACCAGGAGACTTTGGGGAATTACATCACAGGCTAAGTGATGAACAGATAATCTACAATAGAGCAACTGAGGACAGCAAAAATCAGTTCTAACCAAGCCAAAAAGGATGAGTGGATAGATTTCTTTAAAAAGTTACAGAATCTGAAAGCACAGAATCTGGCTTACGTTATTATTTCTTGTCTGTGTGCTAATGGGAGAAGGAGTTTATGGACAGATGGCAGGAGGCAGCAATACTTCCTAGCTTAGTTTGGAGTTTAAGGTCGGCCCAGAGTGGTGCAGCAGATGAGCAAGATCTGGCAGAGGCAGGAAACAGAACGAGTTCACCGAGTTCATGAAGAAATGGAGAGCTTTGTACTGAAAAAAGACGTGGCTTGTCACTACACAGAGGCCTATCGCTGCAATCATTTACTACTGGTCAGTTAAAAAAAAAGCCCTTTTGCTGCTTGCAGCTGGAAAAAAGTAGTATTTTACAAATAAGCAAATTTTAAGTGGCAAATACATTTGAAGGACTGGTCATAATGCCTTAAGTGAAAAATGGACAATTACTCTCTGGGATGTGAATGTGACTAGTTTGCAAACAGCATATTTCCATATTGGGAGTCTACAATATGTGTTGAAGCATTTGTGTCTCAATTTCACTGCGTGAAAAGCAGAGGCTTGCAGCCTCTGAGGTGGGTGCATTGAGAGCTGGTGGGCAACAGAATAATGTGCACTGCCAAGAATACAGTTTGCATGCCGTTCACACAAATATAGGCTGTGACTTTCAAAAAGTGGCTTCTTGATCAATGGGCCGCAAACACCAAGAATACAGGAAGACAGAAAAATGCTTATTTTTTTTAACAATTTTCCTCAAATTTTGAGTCTACAATAGCAGCAGCCCAGTGAAATGCTACCTTAAGATCAATAATTATTAATTTAATTAGATATAGTCATTATATTTTACGCAAAATGTTAAAGCTATTTCGTTTGAACATCTCCAGTACATTAACCCACCAAATGTTTTTTATTACTGGTGTAATTATTCATAAACGACATAATTGAATAATGACTGACAAAAATGCTTTGGCACTTGCAAACTAAGTGTTGAAACAAAAGATTGTGAATAACATCTTCTGGTCACCAATGAAAGCCAGTTAACACTTTTGAAGGTCTGTATGCAAAAACAGCAAACCCTGTGATACATTTTTACTGATGTACTGAACTATTGTTACACTTCTGCTAACACAAATTTAATTAATTTACTTGGTTTGTGTACAATGCATCATCTCAGTTGCACTGTATATGCTAGTTACCCTTAAATGGAAATGAGTTTGTGTCTTTGCATGCAAGACTATACATGTTCACATGAAAAGATGAGCGAATATACACTATGTACTCATCTGTATCCATTATTAATGTTTTATTTTGGCCTTTGTGTATGTGGACGGCAGTCAATGAGCCAGAGCAAACATTATTCCTTTCCACAGAAAAGGAAAAAAAAACAACTTTAAATGAGTGCGATAACTCAGGCTAGACTCTCGCTAAAAAATAGGCAGCGACTGGGTGTAGAAGTTACTAGGTAAATGTTTCTACTTATATTTGCAGACAACAGAAAAGGATATAAATTAAATGACAAAAAAAATGTAGATTTTCTGAGGTGTCAAAAAAAGTTATTTTTTGTTTTTTTTATCTATGTAAAAAAAAAAAATAAAAAAAAAAGAATTTGTGTTTTGCTCATAAATTAGATTAGAAAAACACTTTCTAGACCACCAAAAGAATGTTTGTGGTCTTGTGGTCAAGTTTAAATTTTGCTATGTTCAAGAGAGATTTAATAGAAATTTGACAACAACAACAATTGAAATAAGTGTTAAATAATGCAAATAATTTATTATCAATTTACAGAAGGCATTTGTTTTATGTGACAATCTAAATTTGCTTTAGATTTTAAACCAATGGCAACAATTTAAGACATAAAATTAAACTTTTTATCATGTGTTATCCAACCAAAACAAGATTTAAAACGATACGATGAAAAATTTCAAAGTCTAATTTAAGACTTCAACAGATGATTCATTTCAGTAACTTTTCATGTTTAATTTTTCCCATCTACATGTGTAAATCATGTGTAGGTCACAAAAAGCTTTCACGATGCCTTTTATAGTTCTATAGCTGTGCAACTGCATGGAGATTTTATATTCTATGATCAGGGATGTCTATAAACTGACTGCAGACTTATTTTGAAAAGCTGTGGGAATTCTTATGTAGTTATATTAATCCATCCATTTATTTTTACCAGATGTTGTTGTTTGTTTGTTTGTTTTTTTTTGTTGTTTTTTTTTTTATAGATTACGTGGCAACTGCTGCCTTTCTCAAGGAGTCCAGACAGGTTGCATAATATGATTTATTTAAAACTAATTAGGGAGAGCCAAACACGGATGTTCTTTTTACTTAAAAAAAAACAACCTTTGAAATATTCCATAATGCATGCTTTAATAATTTGATTTTGACAAGTCCACTTTTAATTCTAGTGCAAATTCTTTCTAATCAACTAAATTTTCATTTTGATGTTTCAGTACATAGGAGGTTACTGACTTTTGTTTGCACCCATACAGAGAAAATCCTGTTTCTGCTGGGTAAAGGTTAGATTTGCTCTTGTAATATCACCCTTTTCTAAACACAAAACTTGCTCAGTCATTTCTTGTTCCAGATCTTGAATGATACTTTGTGGTATTTTGTATGTTTTCAAACCTATAGCTGCTGGAAGTACAGTTTGAGGACCAAAGAGTAAAAGTTAAATAATATATATATTTTTTTTATTTCTAAAGGTCTCAGAAAATCTATTCATTACAAAGAACTGGTATAGTATTTCATTGATATTATTTAATTTCTCATTTAACATGACGAACACTAATACTTCTTGTGAATACCTTCTATAACTAAGAAATGCTGATTTGATGCAAAACTCAGATAATTGTAAAGACATTAAATATTTAACTGAGACTGTGCATGGTCTCTCTTTTTCCCTTGCTGAAGGCATCGTCAACCAGTTGAACTGGTTTCCAGTATATAAGGCAAAGCAGGGGGAGAAGGAAGTGTGTGTGTGCGGGGGGGAGGACAGTTAAAGAGGAGGTGGGGAAACGGAGTCTATCCAACAGTTTTATCATCTATTCTTTCACTCAGTAACCGCACAGTCATTTTTGGGCAAACCTTCTAGTCATTTACATCACTAACTGTATTTCACCAAAATAATCACTTCCTGCTATAATCCCCGCACACCAAATAATAAAAAAAACAAAGAATTCTAGTCTTCCCTCTAATCGAGACCCTGCAGGTTTATAGAAAAAGTCCAGTGGCCGACTGACAACCCAGAAAGGTGAGGGTCAGCTTGAAACAGGCAAACATTAAATTTGCCATGACGTAATAGAGGCAAGATCAGGAAACATCCTTTTGCTTACATACAAATGCACTCACTCTCCACTGGACACTCAGCTGTAAATGACAGAATGTACGAGAAAGAATGACCTGTTTATACAAAAGGAAATACTGCTGAAAAAGCACAGAAGAGAAGTTGTTGTTTTTTTAAATAGCCTCTGTCTAGAAAAAAAAACTTACATCATTCAATCTTTTTTCATTTAATTTCTACATAGATAATACAACAATACAAGAAATTACTAGAATCTAAAAACATAAATAGATATGCCAATAATTGTGTTTCAGAATCAGGATATAAGAACATATAGGGTACAATTCTCTACAAATCTATTGAAAAATCAAACAACTTAAAAAAAAATCTATAATAAAAAACACAGATGAAAGGTTAAGAGTCACTAAAGGAGTGAAAAACTTCCGGATTACAAATTAAGGCCTAAAACAAATATTTATGTCCTCTCTCTTAAAATATTAAAAGTCTGAATCAAAAATAAAATGGACTAATAGTAACATCAATTTTTTTTTTTCTATCTTCTCTTGCTTTGTTCTTTGACAATGACGTACAGGAGGAAACAGTAGCTCAAAAAGTTTAAATATCCCTTAAAAAAACAAAAAAACTTGCAGCAGACCTTCACATTTAAAGCCCCGGGATATTTTTGAATGACTTTTGCTTAAAAAAATTATGAACAATTAAAAAATAATTCAAGTACTTTTGTAGGGTTTATCGTAACATTTCAAAGCTTTTCCAATCCAAGCAACTGCCCATTAAGTCTCGTCTTTTTTTAATTTTTGTCAGTAGCTCAATAAAAATAATTAACATACAGACACAAGGAAGCAGTAAATATTTCAGTGTTAGCTATCCATGCGTGCAGCTTACTTTGGACCGTTGTCTACTGATTGTACATCATTCCCTGCATATTTAGTGAGTTACAAACATCAAATTCTGAATAAAAAACAGCAGCTGCACATCTGCAGGTTATTCATCACTAGGAAAATTTATTCTGCAGCTTTAAATTAGAGCTACATGGTGCATTAAATATAAAAAGCAGAAAAATCAACACTAGACAACTTTTTCTTTCTCCACATATCTGTAACACTGGTTTCTAAGTGAATGACTATCTGGAGAAACAACAGTAGAACTTGCAGCTCAGGAGAATCCCTTCAAGGCCCCGTGTGCCTCTGGAACCCACCTCCCTCTGAACACATTTGGGTTTATTATAGACAATCAGCGACGTGATGCTCTCAGGTGAGAGCTTCATTCAATTGAAAGCCTCCCATGTGGACGCACACCTACTAATTACTGAAGCAGCGTGCAAACAAAAGGAGTGTGGCACCTTACACACTGACAGCACAACTAACTATCCTAAATGATTTAGAAAGAAGATTTAATGCTCTACAACATTAAAACTGTTGTACCTGTTTCACAGTTACTGAGAGGTAACACAACTATCCCCTAATAAACTAACCACTCTAAGGTTAAAATGGCAATTTGAGTAATAAACTAATGCACATGTTGAGGGCAGCACGATGGTGCAGTTGCTAGAGCTGTCGCCCCTCAGTGAGAAGGTCACTAGATCAAATCCCAGTCGGGGACCTTTCTGGGTGGAGTTTGCATGTTCTCTCTGTGCATGCGTGGGTTTTCTCCGGGTACTCCGGTTTCCTCCCACAGACCAAAAGCATTTATGTTAGGCTGTTTGGTAACTAAATTGTTCCTAGGTGTGAGTAAGCGAGAGAATGGTTGTTTGTCTCATTTGTCTCTATGTGTCCCTGTAATGGACTGGAGACCTGTCCAGGGTGTCCCCCCGCCACTCGCATAGTGATGGACATGGATTACCAGTGACCACCGTGACCCAAGAATGAAGAAGCAGGTAAAGATAATGGATGGATCAATGAATGGATGTACACGTAGAAAAACACTAATAGTCTTAGACTTAAAAAGTCGTAAATTATTACAAACTTATAGAACAAGGCTACAATATCATCTACCGCAAACGTCAGTATCCAGTTTTTAATAACAAAAAGGACTACTGTTTCTTTCTTTAAAATTGTGATCTGTAAATGTACATATTCATATAAACAAAACTAATATTGCTAAATTAAAGACAAAGGTTTTTGTTGAATGAATTGAATCTGTAAAACATTATTAGTTAAAAACATCCACAGCATTGTTTTTTCCCCAACTCATTTACTGTATTTTTCACCCTATATGTCGCAGTTTTTTTGCATAATTTGCATGCCCTGCGACTTATACACCGAAGCGACGTATTTATGGATTTTTCCCCATATTTATAAACCAATTTTTGGCTGAGATTTGACCGTTTTCATTCATTCTGACTGAAAATATTGAACACTACCATTTTCAGCTGCTAGATGGCAGTCGAGTAGTATGGCATGCCGTTGTATCACGTAATAGGTAAAAGTGGCTATTAATGACATGATCGGCTTGCCAGTCTTCCACCTTCGTCTGCCCGGAACACCTGTCAAATCAGCTTCATTTTGCTGCGTTGCACCGGCAAAATGCAGCTGATTTGACCATTGAAGTGCATTTATTAAGTAAAAGTTAACTGAGCCACATCTTTACTATAAAGTTGAACAAACAAATAATTGTTTTAGGTGGTTATCTTGTTAAATTTCGAAGAAATATACAGCGAGTCGCCCTCTGCATGTTCATGTTTCCACGTATCGGCTTTTGAAATGCAGCTGATTTGACCGTCGAAGTGCATTTATTAAGGAAAAGGTAGACTGATATAATTTCAAGCAAACAAATACATGTTTTTAGGTGGTTATCTTGTTAAATTTCGAAGAAATGCACAGCGAGTCTTCTCGTGCATGCGCCTACTTCCGTGTATCGGCTTTTGAAATTCAGCCGATTTCACCGTCAAAGTGCATTTATTAAGAAAAAGTTAGACTGAGACAACTTTACTATAAATTCGAGCAAACAAATAATTGTTTTTAAATGTTAGTCTTGTTAAATTCTTGTTAAAGTCCTCCCGTGCACGCTCCCGCAGCCGCCATTTGGCAACTAATCGATTTTTGGCACAACACCGGCCCACATTTCCAGGTCGTCAGCGGTAACGCGTAACAAATGCGACACGTCAGCGGTGACGCATAATAGATGCGACGTATATGACGAAGTAACGTATTTATGGATTTTTCCACTTTATTAGACATATTTGGACTGATGCGACTTATAGGGCGGTGCGACGTGTACGGCGGAAAATACAGTAGTTACCAAGAACAAACAACAAGATTTAGTTGAAATGTGTCGAGTTTTGTCACATCTTCCTTTAAATGCTGGGAATTTGATTAAAAACATTTGGTAAGAAAGTAAGGTTTTGATCATGCACCAGTCTTTTGTCACATTACTCCACAACTTAAAAATGACCAAATGATAAAAGGAAAAAAAGGAAAATTGTGGAAAAGCTGAGCTCTCTGATAGAAGTAGCATGCAACTTACTGAAGGGAAATCAAAATCCTTCTGGTTTATTAGGCTCAGGACGTAATCAACCTGGAACTGGTTTGCAGAACAGGCTAACTGGCAGGGAGGTGTTAGTGTGTTCATGGCAGCCACGATGGTCTGGGTTGAGAGAACAGAAGAAGAAAAAATTCATTTATTAGGAAAAAAAACAAAATACAACAGAATGATCACTGAATGTCTGCCTTGAATCAAACACGTTATACATGAATGTAACATAATGTGGGTCAAAGACTAATTTCTTACCTCTATAGCTTCTTTTATGTTGTTTTTAATATCATGAATTTTCTGTTTTTTCTCCCTGTAAAAAACAAATGATAAATGGTAAATGCACTATACTTATATAGCACCTTTCTGTCTCATCAGGATAGTCAAAGCGCTTTACACTACAATCTGTGCCCTCATTTACCCATTCATACAGCACTCTACTAAATATATACAAAGATTAATCAGTGCTTTATCATGTTCATACACCTATGGGACACACATCAAGAGGAGTGAGGGGTTCAGTGTCTTGCCCAGGGACACTTCAGCATGTGACTGCTGGTGGAATCAAACCCCCAACTCTTGCATTGGAGGACGACTGCTCTAACCTCTCGGTCACAGCCGCCTCGAACAGATCCAAAACAGATTGGAGAGTTTAAGCTTTGTGGCGAATAATAATATTGTTTCCAAAAAGATTATTTTTACTTTTAACCTAGGTAAATAATTAGAACAACAACGTAACAAAACTTTTAAACTCAAATTTGGATGTCAAAGCTCAAGAGGGTTTTTTTTTTTCTTCAAAAGAAGGAGCTTGAAATGGAATAATTACTCCAAACTAAATGTAAACCATTTTGTTTCTGTTGTATTAGTGCCAGTGGGTTTCAGTGTGAAATGTGCTGCGTGGAAATAAACTTCTCCTGGATCTCTTCATCAGCCTGGAGGTAAATTATACCTGACATCATCAGTGTTACTGCTGCCACACACACACACACACACACACACACACACAGCTTGCTGAATAAGAAAAACAACTCCTGATGCTTCCGTACTTGCTGATACAAAATGAAAGTAATACAACTTTTGCTTAGTTTTGATAATGACAATTACTAAACACAAAGTCGATTACACAATCAAGACATTTTTGTACACATTTGCTTGAATTTTAAAGCTTTTAACAGTTGTGAGCATTGATCAGCTAAAGCAACCTTATGCTTTGTATTTTGTTATTTCATTAAAGGATTAAACTCAATTTAATAATTATCGTCCAACGTGACAGTTTCTGTAACAAGCGAGAAGTCCAGGGAGCTCAATTCTTACAAAGCTTCTGACAAATAAACAAAATAAATAAATATGTTTGGCTATTTAAAAACACTTCAACTCAAATTTTTAGAAAACTATTTTAGCACAACAATTATCTCCTTGAGCTAAAGAATTTTAAATTATGTCCTGGTGAAAGTCAATGAAAATCAGGACGTTTGATGTTATTTTGTATTTACTTGTGTTTTCTCCGTTTTAGGTGAGCCGTGCTGGCAAAATGAGTTTCTTCAATATTGGGTTATTATTTTCAAGTTCTTCTTCTCAAAAGCTTCAAATGATACATACATTGTCACATAAGTGGCATATTTTCTTTGAAACTTGGCTAAAATGAAACAGGACGTGACTTTAAAGGTGAACTTTTGAAAAAGGGGAACTCTGGTCTTTGCACTGAAACATTGTTATTTGAACTCCGGCTCTTCTTCGTCTCTCTCCGATAGTGACTCAAAATAATCTAAAGAAACGTCAGATTCTTCAGTACTGTCCGTGTTGTTCATCATGGTAGCAACGCTCTGTTCACGTGCAGGCGTTCCCCTTTGTCATCACTTCCTGTGACTGCACGTGCAAATATCTCAGCAACTGTTCATCTCAGTGGTGTGAATTTATTTGCTGTTAATGTTTGCTTTCCAAAAATGCATTCATATTTATTAGACAAAACTGGTGTCAGATAAACTTTAAATTAAATTATCAGAAGTGAACAAAACAGAAACGTCACCATGATGACACACTATTTTCTCAAAGGGTGGAGAGCTTTAACGTCTCTGCTGACCGCCACAGAGACAAGATATACCCCCCACCCCCATTTGTTTTTTTAATTCCCTTTTGGTGTCTTCTCGCCTCATCCATACTGAAACGCTAGCTTATATCTATATTTCTCACTCTCGTCATCATCACCATCCTGTCCAGCACCTTCTGCTGGTCTGCACCCCCACAAAAAATAAATAAATAAAAACTGAAATTTAAAACACAACTGGGGGAGTAGCTGCTTTCATTGCACTTTAGCGCCTAGTTCTGTTTGACGCAACCAAATAAACAAGCACAAGATAATACTCCCCACTCAAACAGCCTTTCTAGGAAAGAGATGATCAAGAATAGAAAAATGTGACTTTGGTTTCCATTGCATCAATTTGGGAGAGAGTTTGAGGAAATCCAAAAGACAGGGTGGCTGCCTTAGAAAACATGCAACAAGTTTGAGTTTGAGCCAGAATTTTCATAAACTGAATGAATAGTATTTAGTCAAACTGAAAACAGTCCCTTTGATCATTTAAGAAGCAGAAATAAGTTTGTTTTGATATAATTGTGTGCAAATTAATGTTACGTTCAAACTTGTTAGGTGTTCTCTGCCAAACGTAGTCGTCCTGTTGTGCTTAAGCTAAAATAATTTGTTGATTCATACTTTTAAAGTCATAACCAAGTTCTTTAACTCTTCTAACAGGACCTGAACGACACGTGTGTTAGAAGTTTTCACTTTATTTTTTTTTTATTTCCGGAAAGTTTTGTCACTGCGCCACAAAACTTTTACCACATTTTGTCAACATATATCTCAATATCTAAACCAGTCCACATGACTGAATCTCAACATACAACCAGTACAACTTTCTGCACTCGTTTTTTGTGAACGTGTGAGGAAATGCAGAAAGAAAATTTTAAAATAAGAAGCAACGCTTACTCTGCGTTGAAGCCATTCACGTGTAGTATTCGCATCTGCTTGACTATTGTACTTTTCCCAGATTCTCCAGCTCCTGAGAGATTAAAAAAAAAAAAGAAGAAGAAGAAGAGAAGAAGGCAGAAAGGAGTTAAACAAACTGACAAATCCATGACAGATCAGAGGAGGACGCAGGCACTGGAGTTCTTGTTGAAGAGTTTATATTTAGCACTGACTGTTCAGATTTAATTCTTGATTAAATTATAACTTTATTATAATAATTATAACTATACAGTTAACTTCAGGTCTTTGTTTCCCAACACAGAGGTCTTTTATCATGCAGAGCAAACTCTTTTTTCTGTCATAAATGCTCCTATTTCTGCAGGAACGTTCCTACACAGCAACAAATAAACAATAATGCCTAGTTATTCACCAAAACAGAACAGTTAATATTCTCCAAGATTTTAACAGCGATTCCTGCTACGGTACTTCTTACGCATGACCTCCTACAGAGGCAGCCCTGTTTTAATATCAAACAATAACTAGCAACCTTTTGTTTTTCCTTCAAAAAGTATTCCCTTACACCTTAAGTTTGTCTTCCGACTCCACTCTTATTGGCTTGAACCCTTACTTTGAAAAATGCAGGACGAAATTACACACACACAAAAAAAGGTCAGACTTTTCTTAAACCAGCCACAGCTGTTCCTTGAACGCATATCAATGTACTGGAGTTAACAGACAAAATAAACACAGTCAGTCAAAAATAGAGACAAGTTTTCCTTTTTAGATTAAAACATCTCATTCAGGACAGGTGTATAATCAAAACATGCCAACAACAGCCATGATTCTGACTTTAAAAATAGTCTCAAATGTGCCCTAACAAGTTAAAAATGAAAGGCCTCAACACCTCTAAATGCTAACTCTGCTACATGCCTATGATTTAGAGGTGGAGTGTGTGTGTGTGTGTGTGTGCACGAACAAATCTTGGATCAGTTTCAGATTAAAACGAGCCAGACAGGCGTTAAAAGGAAGCTAGTAATCCTAATGGTAATCCTAATTTGCACTTTGAGGTTTAACAGGGTACTAGCCTTAACGTGCACACATATCATCAGATCCCACATGTTAAAGCCTAAAAATAGCAACGCTCTCATTGGGTGATTGGGGAATATTTATTCCCAGGAAGGTGAGTGTGGAGCCTGATAAAAGTACTGTACGCCCAAAATGAAGGCATCCAGGATTCACACTGTGAGCACAAACAGGGCAGATCACAAAAAACAGCGTGTGGAGGGAGAAACGAGCACGGAGAGGGCCTCTGCATGGAGCCCGAGTGTGCTGCCCTTAGCGGCGATTTTAGCCTCTTTTTGAGGGTGCTCAAGCACGCCTAAATTTTAACTCAGCACCCCTATTCATTTATTTATTTAAGGCAGTTCTGGGTTTGGGTTCTGTTTATTGTTGCATTTACATTATAATGATTTTAATTGTTGGATGTCCGGCCCCTGAGCTGTGGCCCCCTGAGCAGTTTAGTTGAATAACCCTGCTTTAGAGGGTGGAATACAGTTTATGCCATTTCCAATATGAGTCTGGAAAAATGTAAGATGGATAAAGCCCTGCGGCCGACCTCATAAGCAGCTGAATACAACAGTGATATACAGGAAGTACCCCATGTTCATCTGTACAAAGGTAAATCCTCCATTTTGTCATAACTACATTGTACAATATGCTTAATATTTAAATTAAAGGTTAATGCTTAAAGCTAGTTGTGCTTTGTTTTGTGCGTTTTTAAATGTAAATATATGTCGCAACTTCTGGTTGCACAAGTTTAGTCTTTGTTTCTAAACTGATTTTATACAAAGCGTTTATTAGGTTGTGTAATGTAAAGCAGAGTGCTACGTCTGTAGCATCTTAGCTAGCGTGTCTGTATTGCCCGCCGCTAGCTTAGCGCTACTTCTTCTTGCGCCGAGCTCTCTAAAATAATTAATGAATAAAGTGTTTACTGATGGAGGTAAACGTAGATGTTTAACAACCGGTTAAAATACACCAGAATGCAGGAAATGGCATCTACTTTCTTCAAAATTTTCAACATTATGGATACTTCTGATGCCACGTTGTTCAAGCCAAGAGCCATTGTCAGCACTGGGGGGCTAAGCACCCCTGAAGGTCAGATTCTAGAATCGCCCCTGCTTCACACAGCCGGTGGTGTCTGTTCTCCAGACTCTCACCGGTCCTGCAATCATCCTCCAGGATGAGCCCTGAACTGGCCTGAGCTTCCCAGTGAAGCCAGTGTCAGGACACACAAGTGGTGCAGCATTGGTTGACACTTCTCTGAGGAAGTGGTTGTGAAGCATTTTCCTCTGGAATAACGGCTGTTACATTTTGTTAAAACAACGTTTAAAAAAAAAAAGCAGAACACGTTCATGTATTAAAAGATAAACCAGAAAACAAACACCTACCTAACAGGAGCAGCCGGTGTGTGGCCCGGTATATCTGCTTGTCTTTTTGGAGCTGCTTCTCTATCTTTTTGTTGGCCTCTCTCTGTGCCTTCTCCTCATTTCTCTGGTCTTCAGTCTTACTGTTCCCAAGACAGCCCATCTTACCCCCCCACAAAAAAAAACAAAAAAAAACACTGATAGGTTCAAGCAGGGGGTGTGGAGGGGTTGGTGGATGAGAGTAAGATGGGAGGGGGGTGGAAATCAATCAGTAAGTTCCTGAACTGGCCCACCAGTGGAACACCTGGCTCAAACTGGGTGACATGTATGTATCCAGATGAACCAGGTGTCAGGTAGTAGACGGTGTGCAGGATGTGGCTATAGCTTGCGTCCCGTCCTTTTTTTTTTTTTTTTACTGTAAATCCGCAATGAAGTCATCAACACTGATTTGCGCGTGAATGGGCAATTTCCAGCTCCTGCGTGCACATGAATGAACGTCCCGATTCCCTGCGAGACGTTTTAAAAACCGAACAATGATGGAGAATCAGATCTTTTCACGCCTCCACGTTAGATTCTTTCAGAAAATGTCTCCTCCGGAGCCCGTCTTCGGCAGTCTCGCGCTGCCATTCAGTCCGTTTCCCTCCCCACTCGACAGTCCTTTAAATAGACTGAATGTTTTTAAATGCCTGTTTAAAAAAATGACAAACACAATAGATTACAGGTGAGTACATTTAAAAAAAAAAAAAAAAGACGATTCACCAGGCTGCACCGGGGCTCCCTCACATTTTTAGCCTTGGCTGTCAGCAGCCTCCTGTGTTTAGTCGGTGTCAAAATGAACGTTGGTTAAAAAGATGCCTGCTTTTTAAAGAGGGTTTGACGAGACACAAAAATAAAGAGGGGCCTCCGCTTCTCCGTCCTTTTCTCCTCTTATTCCTCCTCACATCCGAGCCCTCCTCCGGCCGAGCAGAGGCGGCGGCTTTCCGGCAGCTGGACGTCCTTCACCGCAACGTAATCTCCAGGTGATAGTCGGGGGAATCCTCCGTTATTCCCCCCTGTTGGGCGCGAGCACGGTCCGCTGTCAGCTCCTTGTATTCCCTTTGAACCCGTATGGCGGCAGAGTGTGGTTACATGTGCATGATGCATGAACATACCGCGGTGTTTCAATCACTCATCCAGCGGAGGGACACTTCTTTCCGGCGCCGATGGGCCGCGGCTGCTCCCGTTAACCGCTCGTCTGAGTGAGAGCCGCTTCTTCGCTGAATTTCTTTGAATTATTTTTGCCCTCCTTTTCTTTTCCTTTTTTTTTTTTCCTCAAAGAATTGCACTTTGAGTTAGAAAGAGCCGAAGAGGTGGGGTGGGGCAAACGCCTCTCACAGAACCCTGGGAATGAAGAACCGTTGGCAAGTTGTCCATGACAATCAGCGCCTTTTCCGGTTTGGACTTTCACAATAAAGGCAAATAACGACAACAGTGCATTTAATTAAATAAACTTGTCCATATGGCATGACCTTTTTTGTGGTGTAATAAATACCACAAAAAGAGGGAAAACAACAATGTATATTAAAACTACTGTGATCAAAGATGTCTATAGTGATACAGAATATAATAAGTTTATTGTCATTTAAATTCAGTTTATTTATATAGCGTCAAGTCACAACAGAAGTTGTCTCAGGGCACTGAACAGAAACATTCACATACATATGAAGCATAGTGTCATGTTAAAATGTGTGTTACAGTGTTACAAAAACATTTGTAATTAGCTGCTTCCTCCTAAAAAAAATATAATAATAAAATAAGGAACTAAAAAATGACCATAAAAAAATAAACTAATTAGTAGAAAAGTTGCAACAAAAAATGTGAACAAGTTTAAAAATGAAAGCAATTTATTACAGTAAAAAAAATAATTGAACAAGTTTCATCAAAGTGTAAAGAAATTCATATATGTTGTTATTTCACTATAAAGTAAGTCGGACACAAACGTCATAAAAACAACCAAAATTGTACAAAAATAGTTTATAACATTACAATTACTCACACAAACAACTTTTTTTTTTACTAACTGGAACTCTATAATTAAATGAACTTGTTTTGTAATTTAATTTTTAAAGGATTGAATTGGATTTTAATGGGAATCTGACTAGTTAAATGGGAATAAAGTAAACTTAAATTGGACCTGCTTTTTCTAACTGAATCATGATTTTTTTTTTGTTTGTTTGTTTTTGGAAAACTATAAAAGACTGACAGAAAAAAAACCATCTAGTTTCATTGCTGTCATCACCCTGAAAAAAGTTGAGTTTCAAAGATTATATTTGACGTATATGTGTTTTTTTAATTTTTAAAATTGTATGTGGATTTATTCCACCTCCTTTAAATCATTTCATCAAACGAAGTTGGAAGTGGTACAGAAATGCCCCTTCACAGGAGGGGACGGTGAAAGGCCAAACATCATCTTCATCATCTGGTCAGTCTGTGTTGTTAGTCTAAGGAGAGGATACAAACTTTATTAGTTGAGGTACACTTTAAACAATTTCTAAGAAAACATCAAAGCTGTGGCCACTATTAATTTTATTATATATGTAGGTGGGGTTTTCCCCACATTTTACTTTTACTTTGCAGTTTTTGTTGATATTCATGTATGGATTCTTGCTTATGTTAATGTAAATTCAGACACTGCCAGGTTTAACCATAAAATCTGGTACATTTATGGGGAGCACACGTATTTATACTAACAATCTAAAGATGTGTTACAAAATATACATAACTATAACACTGACAAAACATTTAAATGTATTTCCTATTACCAGTTAATTACCCAAGTTTTCACTATTACGCTCAAAAGCGAACCTGGGGTATGTTATAGATTAATAATCTTTACAAGTTTCCTGAAAAATCAATGCAAACTTGGAAGTTGGAATCCTTCTAACGACTTCAGAGATTTTCCTACGCAGTGAGACACAGATTGACATTAATATTTGAGCTCATTCGCAAGAAAAAAAACAGCAACTTTGATTACACTCCACAGTTTTACAGCTTCCAGCTGCAGAAAGGCCACATACTTCTGATCAGCAGTCATTTAGAGCACTGACTCATTTCAGCCACAAGTAAAACATCCTGGAGGGTTTAAAATGTGGGTTTAAAAATATGCCGGCCCAAAGATTACTTTTTGTTTGTTTGTTTGTTTTATGAAATGGTATTTATGTTGTGCTTAAATTATTTTAAGTCTGTGTCCTCCACTTATTATTCATTGATTACAGAAATTGCCCAACAAGCAGATTTTTTTGTTTGTTTCCTTTTTATAATTTTGTTTATTGTTGCTGATGGAAATTTTCACTTTACCTACATTTACATATAAAGTTTTCTAATGCATGTGTGAATAAAACTACACAAGATCAACACTGCGACTGCTTATTGCGTCAAATTCACGAAAAATAGACAAATTCAGGTAATGAAAAATTACCAACCTAAGTTTTGAGCTTTTATTTTGAAATAGAATTCCTTGTGCTTCTCATTTCCGTCCCGCAGCCGCTTGACGCATGCGGATAAAGAAGGGTTGGGTCACGTGACTGCCCGGAGCGTCAAGAAGCTGAGGAACAGAAGGAGAGCGGCGCCCTCTTTGAAGCAAAAATGATTAGCAACACACACAAAAAAGTCTTAATCACTAACTTTTAAAGTTTATTGATTAAATGATCAGGAAATATCCGCACACAGGTAGAGAGTGAATACCATCAAATGTTTTTCACGAGACAAACACTAACAGAAAAAAGGCCCTAAAATATGTTTTATATTGTATTAAAAAACGAGTTCAAGTAAAATATTTTTGTGCTTTAAGCTTCAAATGTTGTTACACCCTATTCAACAGATATATAACTACAATTAAGTATCAATAAATAAACACGTATGTTAACTAATCTGATTCTGGCTTTGAATACAATTTTGTCATAATTTAAAAATGAAATTTAAAAATATAACACAGAAATCAACTTTAAAGAATTCATGATTTGAGATTTCACCACCCCCACCCCAAAAACAAAACAAACAAACAAACAACAAAAAAAAAACCCACTTTTTTATCAATCCATCAATCAATCAAACTTTAATTATAAAGCCCTTTTCATGCAACACAACACAAATAACCAGAATAAAACTAAACAAAGCGAGAAAAGAAGCAACAAAAAGCTAATGATAACATACAAATAAAAATCATACTGACAAATCATTTAAAATACCACGGAGTTTTAAAAGACTTTCAAACTCTGGAGACTGATCAAAACCCCTGACAAGATTCTTCCATTAAAACAAGAGAAATAGAAAAGAGGAATGACTCAAGACTCTGACAATCTTATTTTCTTCACCAAAATTAAGTCTGAGAATTATTCAGAAGATGTCTCGTTGTCTTCTTTCACTTATGATGAGAATATCTGGACAAGTCTTGGCTCTTGGTAAATGATAGTTAGACTGAAACACACACATTCCCTCTCTTCGGCAGTTTGTTACAAACTTCATGTCCTCAGATTAGGAACTCATTTATTCTTCTTCTTCTTCTAGCCATTTTATGGTAAATTATCATTTGTTATAATAGTGCATAAAGTAAAAACAAAAGTTTTTAATTATAACTGACAACTAAAATACATATACATTACAAAGACTCAATTTTAAATACACCTGTCAATTCTGTCTGCATGAATAATCCAGGTCTCTTGTGAAGAAGATGTTTATAATCCCACTGAGACTTTTAACTGGATAAATGGATCATCTGAAATACTGCAGGTCCTTTTGTCACACGTCCTCACACTCAAGTGCAAATAGATTTTGAATATTTAGTGAGATAAACTTTATATATTGTGCGCACACTTAAAATAAATCATTATTAAATTGTTCTATTCAGCTAGTCTGTGTATTTTAAACCCAACTATGATCATGTTGGGCTTTAAATAACTTTTTGTACTTATTTTCTTGAACTTTTTTGAATTTAAATAACTTCTTCGTTTGCTCATGTTGTTGTGCTTTATCACAAATGAGCAGAAATCTTTTTTTATTATTATTATTGCTTTCATTTCCAAACTGTTTTGGATTTTAATGATCAATTTTTGCCTCTTTTCTTTACACTCAGTTAACTTTGTTTTATTTTGTAAATATAATCTGGTTCATTTGAGTTTTGCCTATATATTTAGTAACTCATAAAGTCTCTGTTAATTTAGCACATGTTCACTGCAATTAGCATCACCTTATGCTTTCTACAAAAAAAAAAAAACTGAATATTTTTATTTTCCCTGCATGATGGCTGAGGCTGAATTTTGATCGCACTTCCCCTCACATGAAAAGACAAACACACAAATGACAAACCTCTTGAAGTGTTACAAGCACAGACTGAACAACAAGATGAATTCTGCTCATCTTCTCCAGGTTCGGTGTTCTGTGTGTTTTGTTTGTTGGTTCGCCTCACGGGCAGGGGCTGGATAAAGTTTCTCATAGTTTTATTATTAACACGTACGACAAAATGATTGTTTTACATAAAGCTTGTTGGTAACAACTTGGGTGGATGCAAAAGTAATACATCTCTTCCTTGTCCATCTGATTTGTCTTGACAATGAAAAGCTTGATTTGACAGAAAAATACCAGTACGTGATATTTTATACTTTTAAAATGTATGTCTTTATTGTTTTTTAGGCATTTCAGAGATTTTAAAAGTTATTTTTTTGTTGTTGTTGTTCTCCCAGTACAGGTCTTTGTATGAAATAAGCAGCTCTTAAAAGCCTCAAAAGACAGAAGAACTGGAAGAGGCAGAAATGAAGATGTTGAGGTTCTCCTTAAGGGTGACAAGGATGGATAAGATTAGGAATGAGATCATCAGAGGTACAGCACAGGTTGAACAACTGGGAGATAAAGTTAGAGAGGCCAGACTGAGGCAGTTTGGACATGTCCAGAGGAGGGACAGTGGGTATACTGGTAGAAGGATGTTAGAAATGCAGCCATGAAAAAGACAAAGAGGAGATATATGGATACAGTTTGAGAGAACATGGAGGTAGTTGGAGTGAGGACAATGCAGAGGACAGAGTGAGATGGAGGAGGATGTCTCTCTGTGGAGACCCCTGAAGAGGGAAAAGCCGAAAAAAGAAGAAGAAAAGCACAAAAAACCAAAACAAACAAAATAAAAAGCAATTGAGGCAGATGAGCGTAAAGCATCCATCCATTATCTTTACCTGCTTCTTCCTTTGCGGGTCGCGGGGGTCACCGGTGCCCATGTCCAGCCATCACTGTGCGAGAGGCGGTGGACACCCTAGGGATCTATAGACACACCCAGCACACACACTTTTTGCCCCACTTCCCTCAGGCAGCAAACAGCTTCTAACCTGAAGCTGTTAGACTCCATCCATCCATCCATTATCTTTACCCGTT